GTCCCGCGGCGCGTGCGATGGTCCGACGCGCAAGCCTTCTTGCCATTGGCAGCATCGGGGTCTCGCCGATGCAGGGGAGCTCAGACGTGACAAATTGGAGGAGGCGTTTATTATGGCGGGAAAGAGTCAGGGGAGCGAACGCAATGCCACGCGGGCGTCCTGCCGCACGGGCGGAGGCAAAGGCGGCGCGCCTCGCTGGAACAGGCGCGCGAATCTGAAATTCCCATTGGCGGAGCCAACTGCAAGTTTCTTGCCAACGCGCCCGTTCACGAGTGACCAAGGCTCTGGGGCCGATGGCTCCGCCATCGGTCCGGTCCTATCGGGGAGTGGTTCGGATGCTTGCGACTGCGACCACCTGGCAGTCATCTCCATTATTCAGAGGCTTGTCAAAGCGACCGTCTTCGGCCAAGCCGGCGGCGAGACTGGTTTACGTCGGGTGCGGGCGCGGCCGCAAGCTCGGCCCTCATGCATGCGGGCAATTGGCCAGAGGTTCTGCTCGGCTCACCTGGGTATCATGTCTCCCCGCACCGCGCGTCGCATCGCATCGTATCATTATGCGCATCATGCTGGTGGCGTCGCCGACTGTTCTGCTGTCGCCGCCCCGGACTTGATGGAGGAAGAGAGCTATTTTGTGCCATGTTGAGTGCCTTGCTTCCTCGGGCCGCCGTTAAGCCGGCACACGGTAGCTGCCCAAATCTGGTCGCGTGGAGACGAGGCGTTCGGCTCTGCGCAGCCACTCTGCTCGGACCCACCGTTCAACGAGAGAAAACGCCGCCGGGCAGTCCGAAGGCCTATTGGGCTGCCCTCAACCGCGCAAGATCCGCAGGCATTTCCTGACAACAGTGGGGCGAAGGCGTCGTTCAAATCCAGGGCGTCTTGCATTGAAGCTCTCCTGGAGGCTTCGGACCTCGAGGTTGCGCTGGGAGAACGGGTCGGGCGCAGCCGCGGCCTTCGGAGGCTCAGCCACTGAGGGCAACAGAGATTGCGACTCAATCCAAGTCGGGCTCATGCGCCCCATCGTCGACGCGGGCTGGGGCGTCAACCCTATTGCGGCGAGCTGTGTTGCATGTGCTGTCGGCGCGGGGGCAACGCGGCAGCTGGTCTCCGCGATGACCTTGAACGCTGCTGGTGGGCTGGCAACGCTCTCGGCGCAGCGCGCGTAGCGTGCCCCAAATTTAAGGGCGGCAATTTCGAAGCATTGGTCATGTCGGAACACCGCGCGCGATCTCAGTGGGGGGGCGGTGCCTGGATCACGGCTTGAGTTTCTACCGGCCTGCAGGCCAGACCCCCCGCTGTCTCTTGTTCAACAGCCACCAATGGTGCCTGGTCGCTGGGGGCGAGATTCCGTGCTTGACCCTTTCAGGCAGAGCTGCGCTGGGCCATCGGAGCTGAGTGCTCGCCCAGGGGGCCGTCGCGCTCGACGGGGCTGCGTCGCGCGGTTCCAGGCGCCAGAGCATGTCTGAATGATTCGGCACCAGAAAGGGAGGTCTGCCATTCCGGTCGATCCAGGCCCGCAGGGCCGCATATCTGCACGCGCGAAAGTTGGTCGCCGTCCATAGCTACGAGAGAGGTCGGCCGCCTCAGGCGGTCGACGCGACGCCGTTCAAATCGGGCTTTTTAGACGTCGCTGCTTAGTTTCACGTCGTTCCAAACCGCTGGAGGCACCGCCCGGCTGGAGTTGCGGCGAGAGTTTCAACGGCGCCAGCCGCGCCGAGGGCGCAGGTCGCAGATGCATGGAGCTGCCCGCGTGGAGAAGTCTCGGGCGCCTCGCGCTGCGACATGGATTGCGGGCGTTCTGACGCAATCCCTGGGGCCGCCGTTCCAGACATGGATGACGCTGAAGGCCCCAGCAGCGTCGACTTAGTCGACGTCGGCGAGCCGCTTGGCGACCCGGAAGACGCGGGCGTCGAGGTGACAGACGCCGAGCGCCTCAAGCAGGTCATCTTCCCAAGAGTCCTTACTTCAATATGCGCATTCGGGCAAGCGCGCTGTGAAAGCAACAAAGATACGGCATACATGCGCAAGGCGAGAGCAGGGACGAGCTGTGGCGAGGAAAGCAACCTTGAACGATCGGAGAAAACTGAAGTTTCATGCATGCTCTGCGGGCCAGGCGCTCAACGCGTCAGTGTTTCCGCAATTAGGCCGCAAGAAGGTCCAGAAGAGCGGAATTCTGAAACCAGAAGTAAATGGGACGAGAGTTCTCCGGGGATTGCCGGAAAAAGATTCAGAGGAAGAGATAGGGGGATGAGGAGCAGGCCATGGCGGCCGAGAGCGAGCAAGTGGCCAAGTGTCAGACCGGAGTCGTGGTGCTCTCTAGAGTTCAGCGGCGCCAATAGTGCGGATGTCAGGGGACGTCTAGGCGTTTGTTAATTTTTCCCGGATTTATCGCATAAAGTTGTTTTTGGATTTCTTGACATTTCTATATTTCTCCCAAAAACAACTTGTTGATGGGTCTTCGTTTTGAAGGGGCAGCGCCCCGCGCCTTCTCCTCCTCCTCCTCCTCCTCCTCCTCCTCCTCCTCCTCCTCTCCTCTCCTCTTTTCTCATCCGTGCTCCTCCCTCCTCCCCCCATCCCCCCATCCCTGCCTGTGCACTCCGCGCCCAGCGCAGTGCGTGGTGGCCTCATCGGGAGCTCAACCGAATGCCTCAGCGGCGGCGTTGGCATGCGTCTCCCGCACCCAGCACAGCGTTCGGTGGCACCGCAGGGAACTCCACCGAAGGCCTCAGCGGCGGCGTTCGCATGCGCTGCCCCCCCCGCCGTGCGCAGCGCTTCGTGGCCCTATAAGGAGTTCCACCGAAGACTGCAGCGTCGGTATTTGCAAGTTCTTCCCCCGTCCAGCATAGGGAACTCCACCAAAGGCCCAGCTGGCGGCGTTGGCATGCGTCTCCCCCGCCCAACACAGCGTTTCGTGGCCCTGTAGGGAACCCCACCGAAGGCTCCAGTGGCGGCGTTTGCACGCGCCCCCCGCCCAGCGCAACGCTTCGTGGTCCCATAACGGGCTCCACCGAACGCCCCACTGGCGGTGTTCGCGTGCGTCCCCTCCGCCCAACCCAATACAGCGCTACGTGGCCCCATCGGGAGCTCCACCGAAAGCCCCGCTGGCGGCAGTTGTACCCTCCCCGCCGCCCCGCCTCGGCGTGGGTCCGCCGTTAACGCGCCTGCTTTTGCGCCATTTAGGCGTTTCCCGTCTCTCAAGCCGGGCGCGCCGCTTCCCTTCGCCAATCGGGATGCCGATGCCGCCCGGGACCGCCTGCCGCACGCGCCGCCAGCTCCTGCTGGCCCGCGGTGCGTGCAGAGAGCGCCTGGCTGCCACGTCGACTCGGTGGCGCGCGCTTCAACGTCGCCCCCTTGTCCGCCTTCCTGCAGCTCGGCTGCGGGGGCCTTCGCCTTACCCCCCAGTGAGCTGGGCGCCGCCTGCCCTCGGCTGCGATGCGTCCACCGGCCAGGGCCTGCTTTGCTGCTCCCCTCTCGTGCCTGATGTTTTTCGCGCCATCCCGCGCTGCAGCTGGCGGCCGCGCTACTGGCCGGGCCTCGCGGTCGCCCCGCCCCCGCCCCTGCGGCCAGCCTCGGGCCGTGGTTGCCCTGTCCCGGCTCCGCAGCCACGGCGTGCGTCGCGGACGCGCTTCGCCTCCGGTGCCAGAGGGCCACCTTGCCTGTTTGGCGCTGGTAGGCGTCCTTCAGGCCGCCGCAGCGGCCTGCTTTCGCATTGACTGCCCGTTGCCGACCCGCCGTGCCGCCGTGTCTTTGCGCATTTTGTATTCGGGACTTTGCCGTCCCGACAGTCGTGGGCTCTCGCGTTCCTTTCTTACCCCTACCTCCCGGCCGCCTCGTCGCTGGGAGCACTCGCCCTGCCCCCACTTGGGCCAGGCTGCGATGCGTGTGCCAGCCCTGGCCTGGCACCGCTGCCCCTCCCCCCCCTTCTCTCCGCTCGTTTGCGGCTCTGCGCGCGCCCCCCCGCGCCGCCGTTGCCTCCCCTGCTGCTGCCGCGGCCTCGCGGTCGCTTTGCCCCCACGTTTGGGTGGGTTTCGGGTCACCGCCGCCCTGTTTCGGGCCCGCAGTTGCGGCCTGCGCTGCGGACGCGCGACGCCGGCTGTGTCGCTTCTCTTGTTGGGCCGTCTCGTCGCCCATGTGGTCCGCCATTGCAGCTTGCCCCAGCGCCGCCCGCCTGGCAGCCACCCAGTTGGCCCCCGGTCATTTGCCTCCGGGGACCTCCATCGGCGGCTACCTCGGCTCTCCGCCTTCCTCCCCACTTGCTGGCCCTCGACGGCCCGCACTGCAGCCGCTGCCCAGCCCCTTGGTGTGGTTGCGCCGCCGCCCCGTGTCCGCTGCCAAGGGCGCTGCTCTGGCTCGGCCACCCCAGGCGCCCCGCTGCGGTCCCCAGTGTTTGAGCGCACTCGGCTTCTTCTTACCCCCCGTTTTGCGGCCGCTCATCTCTCCTATTCCCTCCTTCTTGCATCCGGGCAATTCGCAGTGCTGTCCCCCAGCCTGCTGAGCGCGCGTGCGGACTGCCTCTGCCGCGTCGCGACGGAACATGTGCGAGTGTGCAGGCAAACGCGCCCTATATGCCAGTACGCACACGCGCCCTATATGCCTATATGCCAGGCGCATTCGGGAATATAAAACCATGTATTCCCATCCTCCTCCCAGTTGCTCTCAACTCGCAATACGTCCCATACCTCCCACGCTCTGCACGAACGAAACGGGTACGGAAAGAATGGGTACGATGCCCAACAGCGGTTCCTGTTCATTTTGAACAGGACTCGCTCTCCGCGCCGCCGCGGCTTGTGTCCATTTGAGACAGAAGGCCGCATGCCCAACAGCGGCCGCTGTTGGTTTGGGACAACATATGTTGTAGGGCATTGTGCCAATTTTTCCGTACTCATTTCGGGCGTCCAAACACGCGATGCATGACCGACGGGAAAATATTTTCGATTGGGGTTGCCTGGCGGCCCCTCGAGCTTCCCGAGGGCCTCAAGGGTGGCCCTGGCCAGCCGCGGGGCCAGAAGTGCAGCGAAGAACTCGAGGGCAAGATGGTCGAGGGGGCCCCGCTGAACGTGGTCGTCTCGAGGAAGCAGGGCATGAAGGACCTCATCCAGTTCGGCGGCGTGCACAAAGGGGGGGGGGCAGGGCGAAGGGGCATCGTTTCGTATATGAGTCCATGCTCGATTCGTTGGGGGCGCTGTCTCCGCGGGTCGTTCTCTGGGCGCCCTTGGGGCGCTCCCGGACTTACGCGCATATCGATTGCGGAAGACTTGGGCGGATCCAGGCCTTCTGACGCTCGTCTTAAGCCTGTCCCCTGTCCCCCTATACAGGGCGGAAATTCAAAAATGGTCAAAAAATAGTATGGGGACGATGTTTCGCGTATTTTTGCCCATTTGGGCAGTATTTTGTGAATCTTTTTTTCGTCGAAAAACCGCCTGTAGGGGGACAGGCCCGATTAACGCTCGTTGGGCAGCATGGGAGCCCCTCCCGTGCTGTCTCGGGCTCCCCTTGGGGCCGCCTTGGCGCCGCCGCCCCCCCAGGGCCCTGCTGTGGCCCTGCAGTGTTCAGGAGGGGAACACACACAGAGACACAATGAATCGTCGATTCCCCGGGAGATATGGAACATCTTGGAAGTGAGGGGGAAGGCGAAGATCCAGAGAATATGAAGACATATGGGAATATGGGTACTTGTGTGTATTTGTTTGTATGTCCCTGGGCCCCCCTCAAGTGTGCTGTGTTGGGGGCCCCGTGTCTGGGTGGGCGGTGATTTCGAAGCGCTCTGGCGGCGTCTGGGTGCGCCAGGGAGCACCAAGGAGGCGTGCTTGAGCGCCCTGCTGTGCCTGGAGGGCGCTCTCTCGGGGCGCCCGGGGAACGCCCGAGAAGGGAGGGCCCGGGTCTGCGGCCAGTAGTCGAACCCTACTCCTGTTGGTCCAATCGACGACGGGGGTATGGGACACCTCCTCTGGAGTTCATATATGGATGCGGACATCCTTCTAATTCTGAGCCCCAGCCGGTGTTTCAGATATTTGACCTGTAGGCGAGGGGTAGGGTTCAAGTGTGGTTGCCTACTGGGGGGACTCACTGCCATCCCCCCTCTCATGGAGCGTTGACAGCGGGCTCCATTGACAGCATGGAGACCGTTCCGCTCACGTCTCACGTGGCAAGAGCCTTTTGGGAAGGCCGGGTGGTTCCTGGCCAACCCAACAGGTCACCACTTTGATATCCAGCGTCACGGAAGAATGCATCATCGCATGTGATCGCGACAGGATCCCCAGACCCCGTCGAGCCAGACTATCGACCCGTGAGGATCCCCGGGGCCCGTGGATTGGGGCGGAGGCACCCGGCGTGGAACAGTTGCGGCGCCCAGATCTCACGATAGAGCCCTCCCAATCATATGCACCCGCCCGCCTGCCGAGGAAGACGCCTGGATGGATAGTGATGCGTCCCAAGATTCCCACAATCTCGTGGACGTCCGAGAACTCGTACCGCTCAGCACGGGCCCTAGAAGCACGGGCCCCTGGATGCTCCAGAGTTCCTGGAGTGTGTGCGGTGGTGGTGGTGGAAAACAGGCTCATCAAGTCGTGTGTTCCAGGCAGCCGACGGCGCCTTCGCGTGCGACGCCGTGCCCCCAGAAGCCCCGACCTCCTCCCGCCAGGGCCAGCGCCTCGCCCCGAGAGAGCTGCTTGACAGCCCCAGGGCCGGACGAGGGCCCCCGCCCAGAGACCCCCCCCCCTCCTCCTCCTCCCCCTCCTCCTCCTCCTCCTCCTCCTCCTCCTCCTCCTCCTCCTCCTCCTCCCCCTCCTCCTCCTCTCCTCCTCCTCCTCCTCCCCTCCTCCTCCTCCTCCTCCTCCTCCTCCCCTCCCCCTCCTCCTCCTCCTCCTCCTCCTCCCTCCTCCTCCTCCTCCTCCTCCTCCTCCTCCTCCTCCTCCTCCTCCTCCTCCTCCTCCCCGCGCCCGTGCGTCCTTCCACCGCGGGAGCCCGCGCGGCACCGCTCCCGCCCTGCGCTCGGCAGGCCGCCCCCTCGGCCCCGCCGGCCCCCCTCTCTGCTCGCGGCCGTCCCGGCACTTCCGCGCCCTGGGCGAGAGCGGCGGGCGGGTCGCCCCGTGGCTCGGCGGCGCGCGCCGCGCCTACCAGTGAGGGGCCTCTCCCGCTCTCTCTCCGGGCGGGCGGTCCACGGCTCACCAGTGGGAAACCCATCCCCACCCCTGTGTGTTCAGAGGAGGAGCAGGTGCTGATGCCTCTACCCTTCGTTCGTTTTCCCCTGTTTCGGGCCTCCTGGTAGGTCCTCGCTGCCACCGCTGGACTCGCCTCGAAGTTCCGGTCAGAACGCACCCTGGGAGAGGTCCGGGGAGAAGCGGTATCGGTACCTTCTGATTTCCCCATATGTGTTGGCATCACCTCACCTCGATACCGATCTCGAGGACTCCCCTCGGTCTCTGAGGGCCCATCCCTGAGAGTATCGTCGCTCTTGGCTTGCCCATCTTGCTTGGGGATGGGGATCAGTTCCAGGCTGGTTAGCAGCCGGGGAGGCGGCTCCCCTTCGCCGTGAAGCAGTGTCAACCGGCATCTCTTCCCCCCGGGTGAGGCCTGCGTGGCCCGCCACCAGGGCACTGGGGACCCCCGGCACGGATCTTGCGCAAGTCTACCCTCGGAAAATTCGGAGGTGGATAGACCTCCTAGCCTGACACGCCGATTAGCGAATTGGCCGTTTTCGGTTCGCGAGAGGGCGTCGCAGCCGTCATTTTTGCGGGTCCAGGTCCAGGTCCGTCGGTTTCGGTCCCAGGCCGTTTTCTTTAAGGGGAGGTTTGCGAAAGGGAGGTTTGTCCACCGCCGATCCTCGGAAAATCGGTCGGGAGTTCGTTCAGGGGGCGTGGATGGAAACCATACCCTAGTCGGGCGTGTCCCTCCACAGGCGGAATATTCAAAAATAGTCCAAGCATCGTCTGGGGACGATCTTGCAGCTATTTGTTTATTATGTTGGTGCTTTTTTGGGGGTATTTTTAGATGTTCGTCCAACATCCGCCTGCAGGAGGACGTGCCCGACCTCAGACTGCCCTTGGAGAATCGGTCGGGAGTTCAGGGGCCGCGGATGGAATACTCTAACCACCCCCTGGGGGGATCAATTTTTGGGGCCCTTGGCAGGCGGCGGGCATGGGTACACTCGGGCCCTGGGGGGCCAGAGGTGTCAATTTACCCACGATGCACCCACGAGCGGTGGCTGTGGACAACTCCCCACCTTTTGCCTCCTCCGCCACGAGGAAACAAAACGTGATCTGATTTGTTCAGTCCGAGCGCTGTTCCTCGATTTCTCCAGGACCCGTTGATCGGGCCCCAGGCCATCATGAAACCAGCGTGACTCCCATTCGGGGGAGCTTCCCAAGTGGGTAATTTAGCATGCTTGACAGTGCTTTGCGTTGCATGGCGGTGATTGGCGGTGATTGGCGTTGCGTTGCGGCATGACCTCGCATTTCTTGGCATGTCTTGGCTTTGCCTGACGTTCCTCGACATTACCTTGCGTTGCTTTGAATCGCTTGCCGTTGCTTGACTTTGCGTGGCGTTGCTTGGCATTCTTTTGTATTGCTCGGCAGTGTTTTGCATTTCGCGATGTTGCTTGGCATTGCTTGTCCTTGATTGGCGTTGCTTGGTGTTGCCTGTTGTTGTTTGGTTTTGCTTAGCTTTGCTGGGCTTTGCTCGGAATTGTGGCTTTGCTTTGTATTGTTCGACATTGCTTGAAGTTCCAGAACCGGGCAACTCTCGGGAACGCCGGGGAACGCCGTGCAAATGGACAATTGGGCAAGCCGTCGCATTTCTTGTCGTTGTTTTTGGTATTGTTTGGCATTGTTTGGTAATGTGACTTTGCTTTGCACTGCTTGGCAATGCTTCGCATTGCTTAGCATTGCTTGGCATTAGCTTGGCTTGGCTTTGCCTGGCATTGACTCATGTTGCTTAGCATTCCGGCAGCAGGCAACCCCTCAAAACACCAGGCACCGGGGCAGCCTGGGGAACCCCTGGGGCCGCCTCTGAAATCCATTCGTCGCACCCACCAGTCTGTCGCAAACAAGTAAGAACCCCTAGGCACGGCTTAATCAATCATGTGGAAGCAATTATCCAGGACGAGAAACTACCCCTGGGGATGCCTGGGGGAGGGGTCGGGACCAGTGGGTCCGCACATTGAAAAAAGTTGGGTCGTCGGAATCTGGGAATGGGGTCGCGGGCTGTTTTCCGGCCCCTGGGCCCCCAGAGCCATCAGAAAACGGCTCGGGATGACAGCCTGGTCCCGGGGAGCGCCCTGGGGTCCAGGATCCGTTTCCGACTCTGGGGCCCCCAGTCGGCGCGGTGACCATTCTGTGTGGTGAGTCAGTTTCGATGATCCTCAGGACGTGTGCTAGCCCAATCCAATGTGTGTTCACGCCATTCAGCCCAACCAGTAGATCATTACATCGCCTGCGTCGTATCGAAGGGCCTCGATGGACAAACACACGATAGGGGCCAACACACGTTCTGAGGATCATCGACAGTTGAGGCTCGGGGTGACCTCCGCTTTGTCAATGGGGCTGCTCTCCGAGAGCGTCTCGGGCGATGGGGCCCAGTCTTGCGCGCCGCTGTGGGGCCCCCCCCGAGGGCCCTCGTGGGCCTCGTGATGGGGTGCTCCAGAGGCCGCCTGGGCCTCCGCGAGGAACCCTGGGGACAGCCCTGGGCCAGGAGCTCCGTGCCAGACGTGCCCAGATTCGATGCTTTCCCATTCCGGCCACAGAGAGGTCCCGAGCCTTTCCTAGGGTGTGGGGTTTTTCGTCCCGGATCCAGGCTTGAGGACCCCGGGGCCCGATCGCGGGCAAGAGGCCGAGTTCGAGGAGAAGAGCCCGGATGGAGCGCAAACCATCGCCGGAGATCTGGGCTTGGCAACACCCCAGGGGGCAGCTCCACCCTTCGATGAAGATAAACCGCAATAAACATAAACTTTTGGCGCTCCGCGCGGATTTATTGGAACCGCGCTGGGCCCCCCCCCGGCGGCGCCTCCGGCGCCGCCCCTCTCCGCGCGCCAGGCAGGGGGGCCCAGCGCAGACCCAAGAGATCCGCGAAGAGCGCCAAAAGTTTAGCCGTGCTTGTGGCGCTGTTCCTTCTTCTAGCCCAGTCGTGGCTCGGCGTCCCCCCAACATACTTATACTATGTGTTCGTCGCCCCCCCAGAGGCGACGCGCGAACCGAGAAATCTTATAGTATATGCGTCGTGGCGGGCGCTTTCTGGCCACACCGCTCGAGAAACGATGTACTACAAGATGGGTATACTATATGTTCGGGTCGGACGCGCGCCTCCAAGGCGGACACATAGTATTAGTATGTCTCTGTGCATCCCATGGCTGGCCGTCCAGGCGGGCGGCGACCCAGGCGGGCCGTCTTTTTCCCCGCGGGCTCCTTCGCGCCGTGCCGGAGGCCGCCTCCTCGTGCGTGCCCGTGGCGGAAGAAAAACGCCCGGGTTCCGGCCATCCGCGCCTGCCGCCGTGTGGCGCCAGCATGTCCTGCACAAGGCGCCCCCTTCTGCATGCTCGCTCCGCTTCCTTCCTCCCCTGAGATCCAGAGGAGGAGGAGGAGGAGGACCAGCGTAAACCCAAACAAATTTTAACGATGTTGGAATAAACCCTCCCTCCAAGCTCCGAACGAGAATGAAAAGAAAGCTCAACGACAACTCGGAGTACCAGGACCACAAGTACCTCCTGGACTCTGAGGTGGCGGCGGCCCCAGACCCGCCCCAACCTCACCACGTGAGAAATGAAACTGCTGGAAAAAACGGCCCCTGCAAGGGTTCGTTTCCACTCTGGGAACTGCCTCGTTGGAAGGCAACCGTTTGAAGACCCCGAAGCGTGCCAAAACCTTGATTCCAACGCGACGGATCAACTTGACTGTTGCGTCTTGACGATCCTGAAGTGTGCCAGAACGCCAATCCTGCGACTTCAACACCGCGAATCAATGGAGCTGTTGCACCCTCATAGTCCCGAATTCTTCCAAAACGCAATTACTGGTCGTTGGTCATGGGAATCCGTGAAACTCTTGCAAGTTTGAAACGAATGTGCGCGGCGCTAGGGCGAGAGCCACATTTTGAAGAGGAGCCGCCCTCAATCCGTGAAACCTTTTCGGCGCTAAGTCGAGAGCCACATTTTCAAAACCACTCGCCCTCAATCCGTGAAGCTCGTACTTTGGTTTGTTACTACATGCGCGCGGCGCTGAGGCGAGAGCCACATTTTGAAAACGACCTGCCGTCAATCCGCGAAGCTCTTGCAAATATTGAAAACCAATGTGCTCGGCGCTGAGGCGAGAGCCACATTTTGAAAACCACCCGCCCTTCATCTGTGAAACTGTTACCAGTGTTAAAGCTTCAGGGTCATAAATGATGAGGATGTCTTAGGCGAAACGCCCGGCCCGCCCTAAAAATTGGCCTCGGGGTGGAGAGGGAGAAGTTATTCAGAAGGAGAAGGAATCGAGGAGGAGAAGGATTTTCGCACCAGGCTTTTTCTCTCCTGGTTTTGGTTCCACGCGTGGCATTGCGCGACGTCGCGATTTCTCGCGACGTCTGATCTCAAGGTGTGTGCGTGCGCGTCTAATTATCTACATAAGAAGTCGGAGGTAAGGGGGTGAGATCGAAGTGAAACGGAGAGCCCCCCTACCAGGAAATCGATTTGGGTTACGTGTTCGTGCGTGCCGTGCGTGTGGGCGATGCGAAGCTGCGTGGGCGGGCGAGAAGAAAGTCTCCTGTAGCTGAGGCGCGGCTGGACCAAATGATTCCGGACCGGTGTCCGGTGGCCCGCGGTGTCCCGCCGGTGTCCCGCCTCCGGCTGAGGCGCGGCCGGACCAAATGATTCCGGACCGGCGTCCGGTGGCCCGCGGTGTCCCGCTGGTGTCCCGCGGGTGTCCCGTCGGTGTCCAGATGATGATGATGATGATGATGATGATGATGATGATGATGATGATGATGATGATGATGTCGATGATGTTGATGATGATGATGATGGTGGTGATGATAAAGGTGTCCCGATGATGATGATGATGATGATGATGATGATGATGATGATGATGATGATGATGATGATGATGATGATGTTGACGATATTGATGACGATGATGATGGTGATGGTGGTGATGATGATGGTGTCCCGATCATGATGTTGATGATGATGTTATTGATGATGATGATGGTGTCCCGATGATGATGGTGTTGATGATCCTGATGATGGCGATGATGATGAGATGATGATATAGTGATGATGCTGATGCTGCTGATGATGGTGTCCCGATGATGATGATGATGATGATGATGATGATGATGATGATGAGGTTGATGATGATGCTGTTGATGATGATGGTGATGTGATGATGATGGTGTCCCGATGATGATGATGATGATGATGATGATGATGCTGATGATCATGATGACGATGATGGTGTCCCGATGATGATGATGCTGATGTTGATGATGAGGATGGTGATGAGGTGATGATGCTGATTTTGATGATGGTGGCCTGATGTTGATGATGATGATGGTGTCCCGATGATGATGATGATGGTGACGATGATAATGGTGTCCCGATGCTAATGAGGATGTTGATGATGATGATTTTGCTGATGGTGATGATGATGGTGTCCCGATAATGATGCTGTTTCTGATGTTGTTCATGATGAGGATGGGATGCTGATGATGATGGTGGTGTTCCGATGGTGATGATGATGGTGTCCCGATGATGATGATGTTGCTGATAATGGTGACGATGATGGTGTCCCGAGGTTGTTGATGATGATAATGATGATGATGATGATGATCATGATTGATGATGATGATGATGATGATGACGATGATGATGATGATGATTGATGATGATGATGATGATGATGATGATGATGATGATGATGATGGGGATGATAGGGGATGATGATGATGATGTCCTGATGATGATGGTGATGAGGCGATGATGATGGTGTCCCGATGATGATCATAATGAGGATGTTGATGACGTTGGTGACGATGATGTTGATCATGATGATGACGTTGATGGTGAGATCGATTGTGATATCGATAGTGAGATCGATAGGGAGACCGAATGTGAGATCGATATTGTGATAGATTGTGAGATCCATTGTGAGATCGATAGTCAGATCGATTGTGAGATCGATCGAGTGAAATAGATCGAGTGAGATCGATTGTGAGATCGATCGGGTGAGATCGGTCGAGTGAGACCGATCGAGTGAGACGTTGGGTCCTCATCCCCCCGAACCTCCTTATCACCCGAAGGGTGGTCGTAAGGGGGAGAGGGGGGGAACCAACATCTGATTCAATCGATCTCACGATCGATCTCACTCAACGGGACACCACGGGACGCCACGGCACACTTGTCGATCTCACTATCGGTGTCATTATCGATCTCACTCAACGGGACACCACGGGACAGCACGGGCCACCACGGGACACCGCCACGGGACACCGCGGGACATTTCTCGATCTCATTATCGATCTCACCATCGATCTCATTCAAGGGGACACACCACGGGACACCACATCGACCTCATTATCGATCTCATTCAACGGGACACCACGGGACACCGAGGGACACCTCGGTGCACCACATCGATCTCAGTATCGGTCTCACTATCGATCTCACTATCGATCTCACTCAACGGGACACCACGGTACACCACGGGACAGTTGTCGATCTCATTGTCGATCTCACGATCGGTCTCATTCAACGGGACACCACGGGACACCACGGGCCACCACGGGACACCGCGGGACACTTCTCGATGCCATTATCGGTCGCATTATCGATCTCACGATCGATCTCACTCAACGGGACACCTTAGGACACCACGGGGCACCGAGGGACACCTGTCGATCTAACCATCGATCTCACTGTCGATCTCACTCAACGGGACACCACGGGACATGGCGGGACACTTGTCGATCTCACTATCGATCTCATTATCGATCTCACTTTTTGGGACACCACGGGGCACCACATCGATCGCACTATCGGTCTCACTATAGATCTCAGTCAACGGGACACCATAGGACACCACGGGACACTTGTCGATCTCAGTATAGGTCTCATTATCGATCTCACTTTTTGGGACACCACAGGACACCTCGGGGCACCACATCGATCCCACTATTTTTACGACCACCCTTCGGGTGATAAGGAGGTTCTGGGGGGGGCGGAACCAACGTCTCACTCGATCGGTCTCACTATCAATCTCACTATCGATCTCACTATCTGTCTCGCTCGATCGATCTCACTCGATCGATCTCACAATCGATCTCACTCGATCTATTTCATTAGATCGATCTCACAATCGATCTCACTATCGATCTCACAATCGATCCCACATTCGGTCTCACTATCGATCTCACCATCGATATCACAATCGATACCACACGCAACGTCACCATCATCAGCATCATCATCAACACCAACGTCATCAACATCATCAACATCATCATCATCATCATCATCATCCGGGGCACCACCATCATTATCAGCAACATCAACCTCATCAACACCATCATCATCATCAACGCCATCATCACTATCGTCATCATCATCATCATCGGGACACAATCATCGTCACCATCGTCATCATCATCAACATCATCATCATCGGGACACCATCAGCACCATCGGAACATCACCATCATCATCATCTCATCATCATGATCATGAACAACATCATCAACATCATCATATTCGGGGCACCACAATCATCATCATTAGCAACATCATCAACATCATCATAGTCGGAACACCATCATCGTCACCATCATCATCATCACCATCATCATCAACATCATCGGGACACCACCATCATCATCAACATCAGCACCGTCATCATCATCATTGAGCCACCATCATCAAAATCATAATCGTTATCACCTCATCATCATCCTCATGATCCTCATCATCATCATCATCATCATCGGGACACCATCATCGTCATTAACATCATTATCATCATGGGGACATCATCACCATCATCATCAACAGCATAATCATCAACCTCCTCAGCATCATCATCGGGACACCATCATCATCATCATCTTCATCATCATCATCAGATCATCTGATCATCATCATCATCATCATCAGGATCATCAACCTCATCATCATCAGCATCATCATCATCATCATCATCCGGGGCACCACCATCATCATCAGCAACATCAACCTCATCTGCACCATCATCATCGGGGCACCATCATCATCATCATCATCACCATCATCACCATCATCATCAACATCGTCAACATCATCATCATCATCATCATCATCATCATCGGGACACCATCATCATTTCCACCATCACCATCATCATCATCATCCTCACCATCATCATCATCATCACCACCACCACCATCATCATCATCATCACCATCATCATCATCATCATCATCATCATCATCATCATCATCGTGAACACCATCATCATCACCATCATCATCAACATCATCATCATCATCATCATCATCATCATCATCATCATCG